TTTTTTTTTTTTTTTTTTTTTTTTGAGAAGCCAGACGCTGGCAATACCCATTATTCATGAGGCTGAGGCAGAAGGATTGTTTGAGCCCAGGCGCTCCAGGCCAGTTTGGGAAACTTAGCGAGACACCCCTCCCCCACAAAAGCGGGGCTTGTGACGCATCCCTGTAAATCAGTCTTGGTTACTTGTGAGTCTGGGGCAAGAGGATCGCCCTCTCCCCCGCCCCCATACATCCTATATGCTTAGGACTCCGGGCAGTTGTTTGACAGTGGCGAAGGACAGAACCTGACACGCGCCTGGTACACATTCAATAAGGATTGAACTGACCACGCCTCTATCCCTCCCCTGACTCCGCCCCGGTTGATTTTTCTCTATTCTTCTGCTCTGGAGTTTTTACACCCCAGGCGGCCACCGTAGGTGAAGGTGGCAAGATGGCAACCTCTGTGTTAGGGAGAGTCGTGAGAGCCTCCTCAGGTCAGTGGAGAGCAATGTTTTCCATTTATGCCTTCACAAGATAGAAAACTGGTGTGGGGTGGAGTGTTTAGTCTGGAGATTAATAAGAAAAACGGAATCTTTGTTGCGGGGGGCGGGGCGGGGATTGCTTCTAATTTTGGAGCGGTGGGGCTGGGACCTCGCACCGGGTCCCCGACTCGTACCCATGCTAGTCTGTCTCCCGTTCTCCACTTCTTTATGAACTCCTTCTTCTCTATCAAACAGCTCAGAGATACAGGGGTAAAAGGGATGAGGAGAGCACAAAAACTGGCACCTTTCTGATATACATAAGGGAGCCCGCAACTTACGACCCTTGATCTTGAGTCATTTAATTTCTCTGAATTTTAGATTCTACAGCCGTAAAACGGACATAATACCGCCTAGCTGGGGATTAAATAAGCTCAGACGCGAGTGTGACTAATTTATTACTACAGTGTTAAGTAAAATGGGGAGCATAAGGTTTCTTAATTGGGAGATAATGGAAAAGCAAGACTTGTTGTAAAAGTTAAAAGTCATTCAATGTGGTAGGATGATATGCTGTTTTAACCAAAAAAGTGTCAAGTTAGTGTTAAAAATAAGATCAAGAAGAGCAAACATTTTTCTAAGTGTTAGAGAGCTTTTTTTTTTTTTTTTTTTTTTTTTTTGGGTGTTTTTTTTTTTTTTTTTTTTTTTTTTGGCACAGGGGCTCGAACTCGGGTCCTTGTGCTTACAAGGCAGGCAGCAGAACCACTGAGCTAAATCCCTGGCCCGAGAAGAGCTTTTAATATGTGGGATATTTTCACACAAAACATAATACTTATAAAGACAAATTCATATAATGTGTATGAGTGGTTGAACAACTGGGAAGCAAACCTGTGTAGTTAAAACCCAGGTCAAGACAAGCCGCTTCTCTCTCAAGATTTCCTTCTTCCCCCAGATGTGAATACTATTCTCAATTTTTATAATTATCAGCTTGCTTTTTTTTCCAGTAGTAGCCTTAGCGTCTGTATGATACCCTTCAATAGCATTGTTTTACCTAGCTTTGAGCTTTACATGAATGGAATTGTTCAGTATGTACTCTTGTGCCTGGTTTCTTTTACTTCATGCGATTTATTCTATTTGCATGTACATCAAATGCTTCTTCATTGCCATAGTATAAAACTTAAGTGAACAGTCTGTAATTCTCCATTCTAATGATAGACGTGGGTGTATCCAGTTTGGGGGTCATTTAGGTACAAAGCTGATTGACCTTGTGTCCTGGTGAATAAGTGTAAGAGTGTTTGTAAGGCATGTGCGTGTGAAGTATAAAACTAATGAATTACTGGGTCAAAGGATGTGTGTATATTCAGCATTGCTTGATATTGCCAAAGTTTTCCAAAGTGATGTGCTTATGTTGTTGCCCAACACTTGGTGTCATCAGACATACAAGTTTTTGTCAATCTGATGGCTATGTAGTGGTATCCCACTGAGGTTAAATATATATTTCTCTGATTAGTAATGAATTTTAGTACATTTGCATGGATTGACATTTTTGAGATTTTTTTTTTTTCAGTACTAGGGGTTGAACCCAGGGCTTTTACATTGAACTATCCCCCAGCTCTTTTTTATTTTAAGACAGGGTCTGGCTAAGTTGCCCAGGCTGGGCTCAAACTTGGGATCTTCCTGCCTCAGCCTCCCAGAGTGGAGGATTACAGATGTGTACCACCACACTCAACTTTGAATTTCTTTTATGAAATAGCCACATAAATATTTTGCTCATTTTTCTGTGGGTTTTATTGATTTATACTTCCTTATAAATTCTGGATACATACCACTTTTTTGTTCATGCATGTCCAGTTTCTTTTCCCATCCTGGCCTGTCTTTTTTACTTTATTTGGAGTGTCTTTTGCTTTTGTTTGTTTTGTTTGAAACAAGGTCTAGCTATATAGTCCAGCTTAGCTTTGAACCACTGTATCAACCAGGCTGGCCTCAAACTCTCTGTCGTCTTGCTCCAACCTCCTCTGAGTTGCTAGGATTACATGCATGTGCCATCACACTTGACAGGAGTATCTTTTGATGAAGTTTTTATTTTTATCTATTCATAATCCTTGTACTTCTTAAATAGATGATGTAAATCATATAAACTCACTATGATACTTAGATTCCATTACTACATTTAAAGAAATGAAACAGTAGCTTTTTGTTTGTTTGTCTGTTTTGAGACAGGGTCTCATTATGTAGTTGAGACTGACCTGGAACTATGTAGCCCAGGCTGGTCTCGAACTCACAGTGATCCTCCTGCCTCAGCCTCCCGAGTGCTGGGGTTACAGGAATGTGCTACCACACCTGGCTTTACAGTAGCTTTTTTGATGGCTTATTTTTCAATGTCAATATTTTAATTTTTTTTTTTTTTTGAGTACCAGGGATCAAACTCAGAACCTTGCACTTGCAAGGTAGGTGTGGTGCTGTTCTTGTTGCTTATTGCTGGGGACAGAACCCAGGGCCTTACAGTGTTACTCCTGCACTCTATCCCTTACCATTTTAGATTTTGCATAAGAATGTAGGAAAAGATATATGGTATAATTTTTCAAGGTTATTTTTGGAGACAAAGGATCAGAAAATTTATAGACCCTTGGTCTGGATCCTCTTGGGCTCGCCCTCCCACCCAGTGACTTATGCCCTGCAGGGTTTTTTGTGATTCCCTAAATGTGCTGTACTGTTTTGGCTTTTAACCTTCACACTTTCTATTCCCTCTGCCTCGTATTCCTCTAAAGTGGCTTTCTTTCCGGGTACTGGGGATCGAACTCAGGACCTTGCACTTGTGAGGCAGGTGGCAGAACCACTGAGCCAAACCCCCAGCCCTAAAAGCTGGTTTTGTATTGTTTTGTTTTGTTTTTTTTCAAAAACATCTGTGTCTCTATAACAAGAATGGTTTAGCAATGACCCGTTTGTGTGAAAATGCCCCAGCAGGCCAGAAAAGTGAAGGAACTTGTATTTACTTCCATTGATTTGTGCACTGCACTTTTATTCAGTTGAAGTTAGACTGTGCTAGATTTAACATACTAAAGCACACAGTTATTCAGTTAGTCTACCTTGAACCCACTATGTAGCCTAGGCTGGCCTCGAATCATATGATCCTCTTCAGCCTTCTGAGTGCTAGGATTACAAGTATGGCCCATCACACCTGGCATAGTTTAATTTTTATGAAGATTAATAAATATGCCTCAGACAGCTTCAGAGCTTTCATAAAAACTGAGAATAGTCCATAAAGAAGTCAGGCAGAGAGTTTGTGTTTTTGTTATTTTGTTGTTGTTTGTTTGTGGGGTTTTTTGTTTTGTTTTGTTTTGCTTTGTTTTGCTTTGTTTTTAGACAAGGTCTCATTATGTAGTTCAGGCTGGCCTCAAACTCACTATGTGGCCCAGGCTGGCCTCAAGCCCATGGCAATCCTACCTCAGCCTCCCGAGTACTGGGATTACAGGCGTATACCACCACACCCAGCTGGAAGAGAGTTTAACCCAGTGAATAGCAGCAGTCAATTAATTTGGGAATAGTTTTCAGCCAATGTGGAATTCACCTGCTGTACTGTTATCCTGCCTGCAATTATTTATTTCTTTAGAATGTAAGGAAAAATTTTTTTTGAGATACCTTCCTAAACTCAGGCTATACCATGGCTAGGACATTCCAAAATTTCCCCAGACTATGATGGTTATACAAAAGTGAAACAGAGCTGAGCATGGTGGTGCCAGCCTGTGGTCCCAGCTATTCAGGAGGTTAAGTCAGGAAGATGGCTTAAACACAGGAGTTTGAAGTTGGCGTCAAACTTGGGGCAGCATAGACTCCTCGTCTAGAAAAAGAGTGGAAGGAAGAAAGTTCAGAAAAAGAAATTTCTTTTTGCTTTGTTTTTGGTGTTTTGAGGCAGGGTCTCCCTTTGTAGTTCAGGCTGGCCCTGAGCTCACTGTGTATCACAGACTGGCCTCCAACTCAGGGCAATCCTCCTGCCTCAGCCTCTCAAGTGCTGGGATTACAGGCATGCACCACCATGCCCAGCTGTTTTTTGAGACAAGGTCACACTCTGTAGCTCAGGCTGGGTTCAAATTTGTAACCCTGCCTCAGCCTCATAAATGCTGTTATTACATGTGCCATCACCACGCCTGGCTTGAAATTGGTTCTTGTGTTTATTTTTAAATGAGGTTTTACATTTGTTAAAGATAGGAAAAGAAACAGGTTCTTTAGAGTAAATTTGGGCCAAATAAAAGGAAAAGAAGTGAACTGTACAGAAGAGAGTGAATTGCACTGCAAGAACACAGTAGCTGAATTTGGATCTTTTAAAGTAACAACTGGGCTGCGCAAGGTGGTGCACACCTGTAATCCCAGAACTCAAGAAGTTGAGGCAGAAGGATCCAGCCTGGACAACATAAGGAGTTCAAACCAACCTGAACTGCATAGCAAGACCCTGTCTGAAAAAACCAGACAAACAAAATATAAAGACCAACTGGCTCCTACTTGAAAGGGAGGGAAGAAAAAGAAACTAAATTGATTCTTTTAAAGAAACTGACTCTAAGGGCTGGGGATGTAGCTCAGCAGTGCAGTGCCTGCCTGGCAAGTGCAAGGCCCTGAGTTGGATTCCCTGTACCAAAAAAAAAAAAAAAAAAAAAAAAAAAAAAGGAGAAGAAGAAACAGACTCTTAGTTGACTATTTTCCTGTGGATTTATAAATTTGTTCTAACATTTTTTTTTCTGTACATGAAATTTGTGTATTCCAGACTTTCTGCTCAGTTCACCTAGGATGGTTTCTCAGAATTTCTGAGGTTTTGTATTTTAACTGAGACAAAGCAAGAGCCAGTACCTGTGAAAATTGGGATATTTTCTTATCTCCAATCTTCCTCTTTAATTCACTTATTTTTTCAAAGATTATCTTCTGCCTTATAATCACATCTGCAAATCTTTTGAGTTGTTTGAAATATAAATTATTTATACCCAGATACTTGAATTCCAGCATTGAGTAGAGTATTTGACTTGCAAGGGCCAGTATTAAGGACACTCACTGATTTTTTTCTAATCTTGGATTCAGAATACTACCCTTTCAGTTTGAAGATTATTGTCTTTAATGGATAAGAGAAAAGCAAAGTCACTGTCTGCATCTGCTACCTGCTAACACATTCATGTGTTGCATGACATTTCAGTTGAAGACGGACCACATATATGACTGAGGCTGTTCACAAATAGCCCTGCGCATGTAGTAGACTGTACTGTTCAATTTGTGCAAGTACACTCTTAAGCTGTCCGCACAGTGATGAAATCACCTGCTGCTGCTGGTCTACAACACACTCCATATTAAGTGGTGCGTGCCTGTGCCATGTTTGCTAGGCATTCCTTGGCTCTTTGTCTGCTGTTAGGGTTTATTAAATGTTTTCTCTGTGCCAAGTACTCTTCCAAGCACTTTATGTTTCCTCTCATTGTGCTCTCCATAATTAACCAAACCTGAATTTGAGGAAACTGGAGCACAGGGAGGTTAAATAACTTGCCTGTGGACAAACTGTGAGTGTAGTAGAGGTAGAGTATGAACCTAACCAGTGTGATTCAAACCCTGGCCCAGCTGGTCAGTAGATCAGTGCAGTGGACAGTAGTCCCCACTGTGGTTCGGACTCAGGTACAGCTTTTTTTTTTTATCCAACTTCATTGAGGTAGAATTTACATACTGTAGAGTTCATTTTATGTGTACAGTGCAAGAGGTGCAGCCATCATCACATTGCAGTTTTAGGACCTTTCAGTCTTGTGGAGTTTTTTTAATGTGTGCATTCTTGAGTCCCACATTACACTCAGAATCACTCACAGAACTCTGAATCCACTTGGATGTTCTGACTTGCACAGTGGCACAGTAAGAAGGATAGATAAGAGGACCGCATCCAGTCCACATGTCCCTGCCTTCCACTTGCCCCTTCTCATATCCCACTGCTGCTTCCTGGGCATCTCTGCTACAGTCAGGGAAGCAGTGTGCAGCCTCTGTCTCCTGTCCCCACACACAAGAGTATCAGCCCCTCTACCAGTGATAGCAAATGTTTTAGAGCTTCAGTAATGTTTTAGAGCAATGATAACAGCCCACTGCAACACATGCTACAAGTTCGCCACCACTGCCTTAGACGTTTGTTAATGTTGCTCATCCTCTCCAATATGTGTTCCTCCTCCTCGAAGGGCCTGTTCGTATTCAAGAAGAGAACTCAAGTGCCTCTCTGTTGTCTTCACGTATCTATCTCTTGCTCCTCTGTTGCCTTTCCAAGAAGTGCTTGCACTTTCAGGTCTCTGACCTGCCACTACACTGAGTATAACAAGATCTGGGGATGAGAATTGATTTACACATGCATACTTTGTCTCCTAGTACTGCATATAGAGCCAGAACGCATCAGACTGCATTTTGATGGTAGTTGTATAATCTCTAAATATCCTGAAAGTCATTGAATTGAGCCACATAACATGGGTAATTTGATGGTATGTAAACTACGCCTCCATAAAGTTGGTGGAAAGCTCTATAGGTAAGTCTGATGCTCAGGACATTTTAGTTATGTTTAATATTTGGTTGCTTTGGTGCATTAATGTTAAATGTCTGCATATTTTGGAATATTATATTAAATATATGTGTTTTTCTGTGTCTTTTCAGGAATCTTACGGCCCATAAATATTTTGGCATCTTCAGCCTATCACAACCATGCCAGGAATGCCTGTCTCAATTCTGCACTGTCCAATGGACATTTTAGTCTTACTGACACACCAGTTGTTTCTTCTGCTCCCAGACTTGTCACATCTGTCAGAAATCTGACATATGGATATTCTGGAATGATCCTTAATAGGTAGAATTCATTTCAATGAACATGATACTTAGACAGAATTTTAGAATATTCATTCCTGAGCTGAGGATAGAGCACTTGCCTAACATTCATGAGGCTGTGAGTTTGATCCCCAGAATTGAAATAGAATATAAAAAATATTCATCCCAAGTGTGGTGGTTCACACCTGTAATCCTAGCACTTGGAAGGCTGAGGCAAAAAGATCCCAAATTTAAGAAAATCCTGGGCTATTTACCAAGTTTAAGGCCAGCCTGGACTACTTAGGAATAGCCTGTCTCAAAAAACTATGTATAAATAATAAAATATTCATGCCTGCAAGACATCTTAGAAGGTGGTGATACTCTGCCTATCTGGCAGGTTGTCTGCCTGCAATGGTAGGCTGTCAGAGTGGAGAGTATGATTGACATTCATGTGCCTAAATGCCAGTAGCAGGAACTACCAGAGCTTTGCTCTTCTTTTTTTTTTCTGTTTTTCCTTTTGCAGTACTGGGGATAGAACCCAGGGTATTGTGCCTGTTAGGCAAGTGCTGTGCCACTGAGCTACACCCCCAGCCCCAGGGTTCTGATGTGTACATGGTTTCCTCGATGGAAGCTGTCAGGCAAAGTGGAAAGTGGACAGGATGCTTGGCTTCCAAGGCTGGGCTGTGCATGGTCTCTGTTCAGTTAAGCACCTCCAGGTTCCCAACACTATACTCAGCAGAAAAGACACACATAGAAATCAGGTTATTAAAATAGAGTAGGGTAAATTCATAGGGGTGGGGTTGGGTTTTGTTTGGTTATTTATATTTTACTGCTGGGCAGTGAACCCAGGTCTTTGTGCACGTTTGAACTCATTCTACCACTGGGCCAGACCACTAGCAGAGGTACATTTTAAGGTGGTGGTAGCTGCTGTTCTTATTTACACATAGCATCTTAGAACATTTGAAGCAGTATTATATATTAAAAGTTACCTCCATTCCAGTGGATCAGCCTTACTCATTTCTAAGTACTGTGTAGAAAAAATAGGTTTTATCCTTTAATCAGTCTGACTGCTGGTTAAAATTTTTATGATCTATTTCAGAGTGGCTCCCTTGCTTCCCAATGTCCTAATGGTGCCAGTCAGAACTCTAACTTACTGCAGCACACGAAAAGGCAAGAGAAAGACTGTAAAAGCTGTTATCTATCGGTTTCTTCGACTTCATTCTGGCCTTTGGCTGAGAAGAAGGGTGAGTTTTCATACTGTTACCTAATTGAAAAAGCACTGTGAGCAGGAGATTAAAATGCAGCAGGAGCTGAGCAGTGTAGCATAAGCCTGAAATCGCAGCTATTCAGGCAGCTGAGGCAAGAGGACTGCAAATCAAGGCCAGCCTGGGCAACTTGGTGACATCCTGTCTCAAAAATAAAAAGGGCTGAGGCTATAGCTGAGCAGTAGAGTGCTTCCTTAGCATGTACAAGGAGGACCTGGGTTTAATCCCTGGTACCCAGTAGTTTTTAAATTAAAAAATAAAAATAAGGAAAATACAGTAGAATTCAGTGAGCCTGCTCATGGCATATCTTTCCAGAATAGTAATTTTACAGCTGTGCATAATTACCAGCTTAATAGGCATCTCTTTGTGTAAGTAGCTCCATATTAAAAAAGCATGTAAGTAGGGTGTGGTGGGACATGCTTGTAAATCCAGCCCTCTTAGAGGCCGAGACAGGCAGATTGGCCAACCTGGTCAATTTAGTGAGACCCTTGCCTGAAAAAATAAAAAAGGGCTGGGTTATAGCTTGATGGTAGAGTATCCCTGGTTCAGTCCCCGGTGTTACCAGAAAAAAAAAATCCTAAAAGCATTCATAACACAGTATTACAATAGCAGAAGTCTTCGCTCTAAGACAAGTTCATTCACTTTTTGCAAGGCTGAAAGGATTATTGCCTGTCAAATAAATGATCCTCAGCTCTCCATTGAAATGACACTGTATTGTTTCCTACACCAGTCAGCAGCAGCTGTACTGAAGTTGTAGTTGTAGTTTGTGAATTTTTTGGACCATTAGAAATGCACCATCCTCTTTGGTACTATACCATTTGTTTCCAGGTCCTTGTCTGGTCCTAGATAAAATGGGTAGTTTTTTTTTTACCTTCCTTTCCACGTCTCTTTTCTAGGGCCCAGAACTCCCATGTTACTCTAAAGGACTTGGTCACACTCCCCAGTTATACCTTGCCCCAGTTTAGTGGCCCCAAAAGTATAATTAAGTGCTGGGATTGCAGTCATGTGCCACTAGGCCTGACTGGAACCAAGATCTCTTACCATTAACTTGGTTTCTAATCTCACTTCCCCTGTATTTTGCTGTTTGGTTTTAGCCAAGCATTCACTAAGGTGCTACCTAAGGTCTCTTCTAGGGTTTGTTTGTTTGTTTGCTTGGTATCAGGGGTCAAACTTGGGACCATGTGCTTGTGAGACAGTTGGTAACACCACTGAGCTAAATCCCCGGCCCAGGACTTTTTTAGTTTTAATGGGCTATGATCGTACTTTTTATATTTAATTTTTATTAAATTTTTAAATAAATTCTTCATAATTAATAATCATAGGTAGTGTATATAGAAGTTCTGGCTTAATTAAATAGCTTCACTACTTCCTTCACCACTCTTGGTAATATTTTGGTAATATTTACTATATTCACTACTCCTTCGAAAAGTATTCCTATAAATATGTCAGTAGTGTGCAAAAAGAATCCAGTGAAGCCATATATTTGAGAACTATTCCTCAGCCCTTGTAATACTCAGACTTTTTTTTTTTTTTTTTTTTT